GGTCGAGAGAAAATGTCACGAATGTCGAGATTTGAATTGTTCAAATTTTTACATCGTTTACTTCGAGTTTTTTCGCTGCGGTGGGAACGATCAAGAAATAAAACATGCTTCGCTAGGCTCGGATGATCGATGCGTAAGCCAACTAATCTCGCAGCGGGGGTAACCTAAGCTTGCGTAAATTAAATTCGGAACCCAGTACGAAATTAGGACGAGTCTACTGTGCTACGTGCACGAATTTCATTCCGGAAATCGTTCGGATACTCACGTTCACGGCGATATCGTTTCTTATTTCCTCTGTAAAAATAACAGAGGCATCGCGAAATGAACGTGGTTTCTTTCCTTATCGCGCAATTTATGTGCCACTGAAGACAGATTCCATTTTGATAACACGAAATGATACTACAGTTCCAGGGAAATGATTTGTCTGTGCTATGGATCTTTAGTACTGAGTTCCTGAAAGTTCGTTCTTAGGATTTCACTCTGACTTCCTTTGATTAGGTCTCGATTTTAGGTCGGATTTTGATCGTTTAATAGGAAACGATTCTTTCTGACTCGCATGTTGACAATTAACGTCAGAATAAGGAACGGAAATGTTGCTCTTAGAAAATACGTTATATAGTTGGCAATATTGGCCTGGCACAGATTTATAAAAAAAAGTAGAATAACACGAAAAATTTTAATTCTTTGTGTATTATATGATGGTTTGAACAAATTTCTTCGAATTTGTTGATCTTGATCTTCACGCAAAGAGAAGAATACGAATCTTTTCCTAATTAATCTACAAAGTGAGCTACAATTTTTATATATAATTTTATATATGTTAATACATATACTTCTTTAATGATTTATAATTTCATTAATATCCCTGTTTATTTTTTGGTAAAAATGTACACATGTTTATTTTTTGAGTAAAAGATACATGTTCGTCAAATTATAAAGCATTAAAATATCCTTCACACTTGACGCATGATCAATATATCATTATTTTCTTCAAAAACCATAACGACCGTAGTGACGCTACAATAACGTCACGTGATTGTCAACGCTGGTAACTAATGACGTTACTATGATTTTCAGCGATTAATGACCACTAAAGAATAAACTGTAACAAATTATAACAAATGCACGTGTCCTGCAATGATTAATTACTAATACAATTTGCTAAATATATTTCTAAATACACATCTTCAGCATCTTTAAACTGACAATAAATCTAACTTTACCAAACGATGTTACTCTTTAAAACAAATTCAAGCTAAACGAAAATTTACAACGTTCGTCTTCTCGACGATAAAACCTTTTTTTTCTCTGTCGCGCGTACTCACGTCTGAAACAAAAAAAAAAAAAAA